GATTAGGTTTTTAGGTTTGCCAAACAGTCCCTCGAAGTATATTTCTACTCTGTCCCCCTTTCTTCTGCGCTCTTACCCTCCATTTAGTGATTTGCACATTTACTCAATTTAGTGATTTGTTTGAGATTAGTCACTTTCCTATTTACAACAAGAAAATTATAATTATAATGTTATATAAAATTATAACACCTTAAAAAAACTAATTATCACAATTTATTTTAACTAACACGTCAGTTGAATTCAACAAAAATTAGCAAGGCGTTAATGAAGAAGTTAAAATAATAATAATTTAACTTACTACCAAAATTCTTTTTTTTTTTTAAATCTAATTTAATTTCAACTACTAAAAATTAGTCTTTTTTTTTTTTTCCAAGAAAACTAAAAATTAGTCTCTTAGTCAAAGTTAACAATGATTAGTCCTAGTTCAATATATAAGGCATACATAACTTATAAAATCCAATTCGACCAGGCTTAGTATTTACAGTGTAGTATCTATATAAATATATTCTATTGATTTATCCATGTTTCTAACTCACCTGCCAAAACTCATTGCTTCCCACCTCAGCTGCAAATATTCATTCTTTGATAATATGGTTTATTTCCATTGTGATATTCTTACTAACATTCTCATAAGACTTCCAGTCAAGTCTTTCATGCGCTTTAAATGCATATCTAAACATTGGGATCTTCTAGTGTCGGATTCAAAATTCATTAGAAGGCATCTTAGAACCTTCATTTCTAGAGATCAAGATCACTACGATTTCATATATACTCCATTACTCCATAGTTTTGTTTGACCCCAAGGTTTTTGACGTTAAGAATTCCATGTGATCTTGATAGTCATGAGGTGTTTTTTCACACGTCAATACAAACTGAAGCTCCCCCAGCCTCGATGATTGCAAATTATAAGAAATTTACATTCCATAGGACAAGAGAGTGTGATGGTTTGTTATGAATCCAGTGTCCTGATGGCCTAGTAGTTTGTAACCCTTCAATGAAGGCATATAGCAAATTTCGGGAACCTCCAGAACCAGACTACATACGGGAATGGGGTTTTGGTTATGATTCTTCCTTGATGATATAAGGTTGTAAACATCAGACATACTAGAAGAGGATCAGTAAGTATCCAGTGCTTGAGATTGAAGAAGGGTTCCTGGAACACTGCTCAATGCAACATACAGTCGAATGAAACTATTGTTATTGGTCCGTAATTGCCGCAAACTGTCAATGGATTCATCTACTGGATCTGCAAAATAGAGAGTAGGTACAACATGTCGACTATTGGTTCACTGCTGGCATGTTTTGATTTAGAGAAAGAGATATTGAGAGAAGAAACGTCTCCGAATGATGAAATATTTCATACAACTTACTCTGGGTTAAGGTTGTTGGAAGTGTCGCTTCGTGTGATGAGCTTTCATTTTATCGCTGGATATGAATATTATTGACATTATGATGTGTGGGTAATGGAGGAAAATAGGGAGAGTATGCCAACAAAAACTTGGAAAAAATTGTTCAGATTTCCGTTCAGTCCTCGTCCCCTGAATGGAGAACTTTCGATAAATGAGTACAGCCAATTGGCAGATGACAGCGACGATTCAACAGAAATATTTCTTTACAACTTGGAAGACGTGTCACTTGAGAAGATTGTAGTTCATGGGGTTGGTTTTGGTACTGTTGGAATAGGCCCAACAGGCCCAACGCTCAAACAGGGCTGTGCATAACGGGCCTAGGTTACCACCTATTAGCCCAAGTTGAGGGCGCATCAGTACAAGCATACCCATGTGGCCAGCGCCATGCGGGTCGAGGGGATGCTTACACGTGCAGATGTATGTCAGCACCCAGGGGCTACAAATACCCCCCAACTACCTCCGATGAAGGTAATTAATCTCTACGCTTCTCTCTCTGCAATTACTCCTTGAGAGCATCTCTCTCTAGAATACTGGGTATTGCTGACTTGAGCGTCGGAGTATTTTCTCCGAGGAAACAACCTCGGGATTTTCAGGTGTAGAAGCAACTGAGGACTTCAACAGTGTTGGACTGCGAAGCTGCCGAAACATTGGCGCCGTCTGTGGGAACATGTACAAGGAGTCGTGTAGCTTTACTTGTTGAAAGATAATATGGTTCGTACCTTTACTGGAGGTCGCCCTCCAAGGAATGAAATGGACAAACAAGAAGACACTCACGTGTCCAAGCCCGGCTTGAACGACTTTAGGCCAATGCCAAGAAATCTTTTTGTAGGAGGTGCCGAACAGGATCACCTAAGTGAGACAGATGATGAAAGAACACCGACTGGGTATGCAACCCAGCCTGAACAGTTCCAAGTTCCAACAGGAACAAGACAAAGATCTGCCAGACCGTACAACTCACAGCGTGAACGACCTGAAAGGTCAACAGAACCTGCTTGGACAACCGAGCTCGAAGAGAGAACTAGAGTTCTCGAAATGGCGATGGGTAAAATCCTTGCCCGTTTAATTCCTGATGACCCCTTGATTCCCTTGCTGAACAGAGATGCACAACCAGCTGCGGTTGTCGCAACTCGAAACTCCCCTGCTCTAAGCAACGTAGTGGTGCCAACCAGGCCAAGAGGAAGTGGGAAGTTGAATAACGAGCCCAGCTTGTCCAAGCATAGTGAAGAATTGATGAGAAAAAACGCAGACCTTGAAAGGCAGCTGCGGGACGTACAGAAGTCCATTGACGAGCTGAAAAGTCCCAGGTCGCATCAACAGACTCTGGATTTGGATAGTGCGCCACTAAACTTATCAATTACGGCAGAGCCGTATCAAGAGGGATTCAAAATTCCCCACCTGGAGACATATGATGGCTCAGGTGACCTTGATGAACATCTGCACACCTATCAAGCCATCATGAGAATCCAAAATGCCAATGATGCTATGATGTGCAAAGTGTTCCCAGCGACACTCAAGTCAACAGCCAGGAGATGGTATCACAAACTCCCCAGACATTTAATAGAGTCATTCTCCCAGCTCGCCAAGTTATTTTCTAACAAATTTGCGAGCTAGAGGGAGATCAAGCGCACAGCAACCGAGCTGATGCAAGTTAACCAGAAGGAAGGGGAGTTGTTGAGGGATTATATGCAGCGGTTCAACAAAGCCACCTTAGACATTGATAACGTCCCGGACACGATCTGCCTGTCCGCCCTGTTGCATGGGTTGAAGCGTGGTCGGTTTCTAGACGACCTGCTTGAAAACCCACCAAAGACGTGGAATGAGGTGAATGACAGATCGACCAGCTTCATACTATCAGAGGACTTTCAGTCGTCCAAGCGACGAGCTGATGATAAGCCGGGTAAAGGCCAGGAACAACAACCGAGAAGAGAAGAGAAGAAGAAGCATGAGGTCAGTGAGCAATGGGGGAAGCCAGCTGAGTTCCCGAAGTATGCCAATTACATTCCTTTGACCTTACTCAAGTCCCAAATCCTGGCACAAATCCAGCACTAGGTTAGGAGACCTCCGCCCCCACTGCATGATTCCCCGAGGGCAGACAAGAGCAAGCATTGTGACTACCATCGTGTGTATGGTCACAATACAGAGGATTGTCAACACTTGAAAGACGAGTTGGAGTTTTTGGCTCGAAATGGGAAGCTAGAAGGATATGTTCAGAAGCCTCACACCCAGCAACCCGCTCAAACCCATTTTGTACAGGCGTACGACCGACCTCAAGGGCAGAGGTACCAGCTCGGCGACACACAGGATGTATATCAGGATAACCAGTACCGTTCTGAGCAGGGCAGAGCATACCGAGGACGTCCGTTCAACAGGAGAGGACAGGGACCGAGAACTACCGCCCCGAATCAAAAAGACAAGAAAGGGGTAAGTTATGCTGGAATACCCCCACCCTCTGGTACCATAAACATGATATCAGGTGGTGTTCACTCCGGGGGCCAAAGCGCCAGAGGTCGCAAGGCGTATGCACGCCAGGTGATGACAGTTAATAAAAACAGGCCTTTGAAACGCCCGTTTGAAGAAGCAGAATGGGAAAATGCACCCATCACATTCAGCCCGGCAAACTACAAACAAGCAGAAGGAGAGCCTGACATTATGATGCCGCATGCAGATTCTTTTGTGACAATGGTTCATATAGGCAACCATAATGTCAACAAAGTCTTTGTGGATACGGGTAGCTCGCCGGATATCCTGTATTGGAGTTGTTTTCAGAAAATGCAGCTGAATCTGAACTCACTGCAGAAACACGAAGGGCCTATATATGGGTTCGACAATCAGCCCGTCCCGGTTGAGGGAACCATTACCCTTCCCATCTATGTGGGCTCGGAGCCACGGTTTAGGATGGCTTCCGTTACCTTCCTGGTCGTCAAGATGGAGTCAGCTTTCAACGCTATACTGGGGAGAGCCACCCTTTGCGAACTGAAGGCGGTAATCTCACAACCTCATCTCTGCATGAAATTCCCAACTCCTCAGGGGTTAGGAGTGCTTAAAGGGAACCAGAAGATGGCAAGAACATGCTACCAAGGTACCTTCAAGAAGGTTGAGCTCGCTGCTGCTCCTACAGGCTCTGAAAATCACAAGCCAACCCGGTTTGCTCAGCAGGCAATGAGCATTTCAGACATTGAACACCGACCTGAGGGTGTCGAGCAGAAAGCAGAACCAGTAGAGCCGGTAGAAACGGTCCCTCTGAACCCTGCTGTGCCAGAGAGAACGGTTAAGATTGGCACTAAACTCACAGAGGAAGAACGGGCAGAGCTCCTGAAGTTTTTGAGGGACAATCAAGACGTGTTTGCGTGGACTACGGACGAAATGCCGAGCATCCCCACAGGGTTGACAGTCCACAAGCTAAGCACGGACCCCACTAAACGGCCAGTGGTGCAAAAACGTCGCCTTTTTGGCCCCGAGAAACAAGCTGCCATTGATGAAGAGATACAAAAGCTACTATAGGCAGGTTTCATCAGGAGAGTGGAGTACTCCGAATGGGTGTCCAACCCAGTGCTCGTCAAAAAGCCAAACGGCAAATGGAGGATGTGTATTGATTTCACCAACCTCAATGACGCATGTCCAAAAGACCCTCATCCGTTACCAAATGTCGAGAAGTTGGTAGAACGGGCAGCTGGGCACGAATGGATGAGTTTTCTGGACGCCAGCTTCGGTTACCACCAGGTCCAGCTGTTGTTAGACGACCAAGAAAAAACAGCTTTTTATGCTGGTGACGCAATATACTGCTATGTCATGATGCCGTTTGGCCTCAAAAATGCTGGAGCAACATACCAGAAGCTGGTGCAAATCATCTTTAAGTTGCAGATTGGCCGAAACATAGAAGTGTATGTAGATGACATGATAGTCACCAGCGTGCGAGCAAAGGATCACATTGACGACCTGGATGAAACATTTCAAAACTTGCGTCAAGCTCAAATGAAACTGAATCCCTCGAAATGCACGTTCGCTGTGGAATCAGGGAAATTCCTAGGGTACGTAGTATCCAAGAAAGGAATCGAGGTAAATCCAAAGAAGGTACAGGCCGTTCAGCAGATGGAACCTCCCAAGACAGTAAAAGATGTACAACGTCTGACAGGTCGGGTGGCTGCATTGCACAGGTTTATAGCCAGATCGGCAGAAAGGTGCCTTCCGTTCTTCAAAGGTCTGCGGGAGCCTAAAAACTTTCAGTGGACTGTTGAGTGTCAACAGGCATTTGACGAGCTCAAACAGTATTTGGCATCCGCACCCCTGCTGTCCAAGCCTGTCGACGAAGAATGTCTATATCTTTATCTGGGGGTCACAGAAGAAGCGGTGAGTTCAGTGCTGCTAAGGGAAGAGAATAAGAGTCAGAAGCCTGTCTGCTATGTCAGCAAGGTGTTACAAGGTGCCGAGCAGAACTACTCGCTAGTAGAAAAGGCTGCTTTTGCTTTGGTCTGCACGGCTCGTAAGCTGAGAGCTTATTTTCAGTCTCATCAGATCGTTGTCTATACCGATTTACCACTGAGAAAAATATTGCAGAAACCTGAACTCTCTAGTCGTCTTATTGGATGGAGCGTCGAGCTGAGTGAATATGACCTGAAATTTCGGCCGCGCACAACCATAAAAGGCCAGGCCGTTGCGGACTTTCTGGTGGAGTGCACCTCAATAACTAACAAAGAAAAAACACCTGAACACCCAGTCTGGGTTTTATATGTTGATGGAGCAGCTAACATTGAAGGGTCGGGTGCTAGGGCTGTGTTACTTGGCCTAGATGGCTTTAAGTCTGAGCATGCACTGAGGTTTAAGTTTCAGACGACAAATAACGCTGCAGAATATGAAACCCTCATTTACGGACTAAAGCTGGCATCCAAGCTGAAAGTAAAAAACAATCAGGTTTTTAGTGACTCACAGCTTGTAGTGGGCCAAGTGAATGGCAGCTGCGACATCAGGGATCCCCAGCTCAATCGTTATGCCTCTGTGGTCAATAGATTGAAATCGATATTTGCCCTTTTCCAAATTGATAAAATACCAAGAGCAGACAACCACCGAGCTGACGAGCTGTCAAAGTTGGCCTCCTCGCAGGACATTAACCCTCAGAGATCAACAATTGTTGAGGTACTCGATGCACCGAGCTACACTGATTTCACAGTCGAATGTCAACTGCTAAGTACAGATCCCTCTACACCAAGCTGGACCACCCCGCTCGTAAATTATCTACAAAGTGGCGAGCTACCTGAAGACCAGTCCGCTGCAAAAGTGATTAAACGCAGGGCGGCACATTTCACTGTGTTAGATAACCAGCTCTACAAGCGAGCAGCCTCAATGCCCCTATTACGCTGCCTTACTCCGTACGAAGCTAAATACGCCGTGAGAGAAGTTCACAAAGGAGTATGTGGCACGCACATCGGTGGCAAAACTTTAGCTCGGAAACTCCTAAGGCACAGTTATTACTGGCCCACTATGGTCGAGGACGCACAGAACTACGTCAAAAAGTGCCCGACCTGCCAGTTCAATGCCGACGATATTCATATGCCAGGTATCCGAGCTCGTTCTAAAGTTTATGCAAACTTAGTGACTATCTATGAACTGAGCGTAAGTATCTTTGTTAAAATAGGACAAATGCTCTCATCACTTACGTCTCCTTGGCCCTTTGCTCAATGGGGTGTTGACCTGCTCGGCCCTTTCATCAAAGGCAAAGGAGGCTGCATTTTCCTGGTCGTTGCAGTGAATTACTTCACTAAGTGGATAGAAGCCAAACCACTGTCCACGACAATGGAAAGAAAAATAGAAGAATTCTTGTTCAATTCAATTTTGTGCAGGTATTCTTTGGTGACCGAGGTCATAAATAAAATATATACAAACGTGATTTGTAGCTCAGCTCGCTCATCTGTGTGCAGATTCGGCATACCTAAGCGGATTATCGCCGACAATGGGCCACAGTTCCGAGCAGCAGCACTGAGATCGTTTTGTAACGACTATGGCATTGAGCTCGCTTTGACATCCGTGTACACTCCACAGTCCAATGGGCAAGCCGAGTCCGCCAATAAAATCGTCTTGCGGGGACCTAAGACGCGCGTCTTGGCTGCACATACTAATTGGGTTGACGAGCTCAATAAAGTGCTGTGGTCATGTCGTACTACACCCAGCTCTGCCACAGGCGAAACCCCGTTCAGTCTGGCATACGGAGCTGAGGCTGTTATCCCCGTCGAGGTCGGACTGCCATCCGATAGATCAGATCGTCATGACGATCAGAATAATGAACAGCTCTTAAGAGAAAACCTAGACCTTGTGGAAGAAATCAGGGAGATGTCCCGAATAAGAAACATGGCACATCAAAGTCGTGTTGCAAAATTTTACAATAAAAGAGTTCGAGCTCGCCAGTTTCAAGTTGGCGACTTAGTCCTACGTAAAGCTGGGTTAACTAACACCCATTTGCACATGGGCAAGCTCGCTCCTAATTGAGAAGGTCCCTATCTAGTTGTTCAAGTTAAACGACATGGTTCTTACATGTTAGCAGATATACACGGGCGTCAGTTATCTTACCTTTGGAACGTACAGAATCTTAGAAAGTTTTACAGTTAACGTGTGTAATATTATTTTGCTTCAGGTGTTATCCAACAGTTGTAAACAAAGATATACAAAAATTGCAACAAAAGTTCGAAGGAAAATTCATTTTTGTATTTCATCAACGATGTTACATTAGAAGTACAAATGATATGGATCTATTGATCAAATACAAAAATGCCAAAACAAAAATACAAAAGAATGAAACAAAAACTCCTAAAACTAGTCGTCCGTTAAATCAACGGGCATGGACGCGTCAGCTGCGGGCAGAAGGGAGCGAGCTACAGGCGAACGAGCAGCGGGCTCGGGAGCTGGCGCATTGACAGGAGAGCTTGCTGGTACTGGGGCGGGCTGAGAGCTGGGTAGAGTGCTTGAGGGCTCCTGCTCAGCTACAGGAGCACCCTCTACCCATGCGTCGAATGAGGGCAGCCCTGCTGGATCCTTCCCGTCCTCCAGTACGGCCGATGGCCAGACGGGCACGCCCTCCTCGTTCAAGTCCCATCTCAGTCTTACAGTCGTGTCAGCAAGGGGAGCAAGGCTCTTACCATGTTCGTCAAGCTCCTCCTCGTCAAAGAACACCAGCTCGCGGATTGGAAAATCTGGGCAGTGGTGCAGCACCTTCCCACGAATCTCGTTGTAGATCTCCGTGGTTACGTTTGCAGACGCTACCGCCACTGCGTCTTGGAACGTGGACGAGCCGACCAGCCATTCTGCTCCTTGGGCTCGGGCAATACCAACAGAGCGCGCATGAGATGCCTTCAGATCGTTCAACGCCTCCTCGGTAGCACTGAGGTTCTTATCAGCCTCAGTGATCTGGAACTTTAAGGAACCCAGCTCGGTTTGAGCACGGTCCCTCTCGCCCTCAGCCCTCTTAGCCCGCTCTTCAACTCGAGCGGCCTCGTCCTTTGCCGCTTGAATCCCGCTTTCTTTTTCGGCACGGACTCGTTCTAGCTCCTCCTTGAGCTCGTTGATCCTATGGGTGAGCTCGTCCGCCCAGCTCTCTGCAGCCGCAGCTCGGTTTGCCATTTCGGAGCCTTGCAGACGATTCACATCGTCCACAAGGCTAGCCTTTTCCGCAGCCAGTTGTTTGCACTTGGAACCGAACTCGCTGTTCTCTGTACAAGCCCTCTGCTCGCTCTCGTACAGTGCTACAGCATAGCTAAATGCTTGCCAGATAGCGACACTCGTAAGTACCTAGTAAGGAAAAGTAAAGAAAAGTAAAACACTTATGTATGGACAAATACTTACATCCATTAGCTTGATCATGGCGACCTACCCGCCATGCTGCTGCACAAATGCTTTTGCCCGCTTACTGTCTGCAGGGGGCACAAAGCTGTGCATGGCTTGCACCATGGCAGGCTGGCACTCTGCCCGCACATAGGTGAAGCCCTCAGGATAAGCGATCCTGGGGCCTGATGTTGAAGCTGAGACAGAGACGGCCTCTACTACTGCCCGCGCAGTCGCTGGCGGCGCAACGGGTGAGCGCACGGTTGTAGGACGCGCTGCCTGCGCGGGCTGAGTCCCCCTGCTTATTCTGCGCCGAGCAAAGGGGACCTCATCCTCCTCGCTCTCTATCTCTTCGCGTGCAAGTCTGCGTGCTCCAGGCGCCGCAGCCTCAGCCCTGTGATCGGCTCGTGGCCTTGACGACGAGCTGGATCCCCGGTGTGACGAGCCACGTGATTAAGGCGCCGGGGGTGGCCGCTCGTCAAACCTTGTCTGCTGGGGTTGCGCGCTGCCCGACGCACGACCTCGTGAGCCTTGGGCTCGCTGTCGTTGGCGTTCCAAGATGCTGCTCATGTCTCCTGCACAGAAAAACGCATAAGACTCAACCCGGCTAGAATTAGTACTATATGATAAAAACATACCTTCGCTGAACAGGTTTGTCACATCGACAAACCCGAACACGGCGAGATGCTCCGAGGTAACCAGGGCTTCTAGATCTATTAGACCCTTCCTCTGCGCATACTCAAGCAGCTGGTTCTTCAGATCGACATCCCGGGGTAGTAGTTGAGGATAGTTGATATGAGCGTTGGGGGTGCGCCACTCAGACAGCCGGGCAGCGAGGTCGTTACTTATCCTTTCTGCTCGTGTGTCGCGAACAAAAATAAACTGTCTCTTCCACCTCGCCACCTTGTTTCTCACATTTTTGAAGAGCTGGCTCTTATCCCTCCCATAGAGGTAGTACCACTTCGCTCCTCGTGAGTTCGGACACAACCGGCACTGGAATAGCGACTTGAACACTATCGCTTTAGCTGGTACCTCCAATCTCGCGCACAACAGCATAAAGCCTATGATGAACCTTATGCTGTTGGGCGTTAGCTGCGTCAGCGCCAGCTCGTAATCTGCGAGCAGATCAAATATCAGGCCGGGCAGGGGAAACTGCAGGTCGGCATCAAAGTGGTCCACGTACACTGGTATCCAGCCCGTTTGCGACACTGTGCACGCCCTTTCGTTCTGCCCGCCTGTCCGCAGCAATATGGTCTTGGGGATGTGGTACGCCCTCACCATTTCCTCGAGTCTTTTATACCCACTTATGGAGGGCGCACAGTCTGCTACTTCGTGATGAAGTACAGCCTTGAACCTGAATCCAGCGGGCAGGTCCTTCGGTGCTTTTCGTAAGTTACTCAACCTGCCCGGGATTGTCACGCCTTCCCATTCCCCAACCACCAGCCGATCTAAGACACTGCTCACCACATCCCCCATCCCTTCTTCACGGCTGGGTGTCTCTTCAGTAGACGAGATGCTAGAAGACGCAATAGGATGGTCGCCACCATCATCCCCAGTGCTCGAACTGGTGCTTCCCTCAGACGCCATCGTTTCCGGCGAATCCTGCAACTCAGGCAGCACTATCATCGTGATAGGCTCCACTGACAAAATCCCTTCCTCTTCTCCTTCTCTGCCTTGGTTACCTCGTTGCTCTATAAGTTCTCTCAATGAAACCATTTTACCTGAAAGTATTGCGAAGTTGATTCGGCGTACTGAGTCTTCAAGCTGGAGCGTTTCGCTGGAGAGAATTCTGGAAAGTTCAAGCAAACACAGAAATGAAAATGGAAAAGGAAACAGTTACGCAGAGAAGGATATGGTAGTGTTAATTGCCGTACGCGTGTTTCTGACGCGCCAACTAGCGTCCCACACGTGGTAGGCGCTTAACACCCCTCTTGCATAACGTGCGCCGGCTTTAGTTGTCACGTCCCTCGAATGCTGAGCCAGCATTTATGACGGGGAAGGCAGAGAGATATGGGAAGTTCAATCGTATCTCCTCAGAGATTTGCTTGACTCAAAAATCCCAAGATTCAAATCGTAACTGCTGATGTGTATCCTATACTGTCACATCAGCTCGCCATTGCGAGCACACCTACCAGGTCGTTACAAAGATGACATATTTGCCAGATCGGCTCAACCGTGCCAGTTCGTTCACAAGTGTAGATCGTTTACTAAAATCCCCCTAGATTCAGCTCGTCACATATCGTGACAACGACCACATTTGTCAGGTTGTTACACGGATCGCAGCTCACACCAGGCCGCAAACCTTTGCATAAATCAATGGGTGCCTGAGGTTGCCCTATTTGACAGCACTACTCATGCGAGCTGATAAAGTGGTGGTCTAAAACCTCAAGTCGCACTGCATGTGGGGTCGCGTCGCCTCACCTCGTAATCATGGCTAACTGAGCGTCACCTGGTCGCACTTCGGTAGTACTCAAAGGTCAGGTCGCCACATGGACGAGCTGAAAGAGGGTTATATACATGGCTGATCCCTATGCGAGCTCGGCTATCACAAGCCCACACTAGTGCTGCTAAGGATATCAGCTCGCCTCCACGCTTTTAGACTCGCGAGCTCGCCTCTTTTCGTATTACCTCTTAGCTCGGCCATCGCCAAGGTCGGCCGTAAGCTGTTAAAGCTGCCCGTCATAGTTACCAGCTAGAACGTTGACCCACGGTCACATCCATCCCAGTTCGTCAACCGAACACCGGGGGGGAATAATGTTGGAATAGGCCCAACAGGCCCAACGCTCAAACAGGGCTGTGCATAACGGGCCTAGGTTACCCCCTATTAGCCCAAGCTGAGGGCGCATCAGTACAAGCATACCCATGTGACCAGCGCCACGCGGGTCGAGGGGATGCTTACACGTGCAGATGTATGTCAGCACCCAGGGGCTATAAATACCCCCCAACTACCTCCGATAAAGGTAATTAATCTCTACGCTTCTCTCTCTGCAATTACTCCTTGAGAGCATCTCTCTCTAGAATACTAGGTATTGCTGACTTGAGCGTCGGAGTGTTTTCCCCGAGGAAACAACCTCGGGATTTTCAGGTGTAGAAGCAGCTGAGGACTTCAACAGTGTTGGACTGCGAAGCTGTCGAAACAGGTACTTATCCCCACAATTTTAATATGATCCCATACACAGTTTGGTCT